GTTTCCTAACGTAATGAATAACGAAAATGATGTATATGATCAAATGAGCGAAAGTTTAGACTCTAATCTTTCGAAGTATCAATCATTTTCCAACACAATAATCGACGAATATATCTTTTCTGGTCAAATGAGCGAAAGGTTAGAATTAAATTCTTCGATGGAGTTCAATCAGTATCAAGGAGAATATTTGGAGTCTGCTCCTTTGATGGCATCATATTATCAATTTAATCAGTATCAAACATTTCCAAACGCAAGAAGCGACGAAGATTACGTTGCTGACTCTATTCCTTTGATAGCAGACATGGGAACAATTTATAATTATCATTCAGAAGATTTTGAGGATGGTGATTTCATGAATTATGATTATTAATAAGTTATGAAGCATATCAAATAATATGCTCTGCAACGAAATTTTAATAGCCACGCGCCAACTGGCAACGAACAATTATTATTATTATTTAATATATATGATTTGACGTTAATGCAAATAATCTGAATTTTTATGTATTCATTAAAACCTGATTTAAGTACAACAAAATAACATCAAAATCTGAATTTTTTTTTTATAATAATTCCCTCTTCGTTATTTCGATATTATACTCGTTTTGCATCGTAAACTACTTTCGTTTAATTTCGCTTAATTTCGATTTTCCCCTATTTAATTTATTCACTCGTTAACTTTACATTCATTTTTAATTTTTACGTTTTTATTCTTTTTTTACAATACTAAATTAACAATTTAGAGTTTAATAATTTTATGACAAATAAGATTTTTTTTAAGATTTTTCAATAAAAAAGTAAGCTTGATTATCAAATAAAAATAAGACTTTGTGTGGCGGTTTATTTTTTACCATATATAGTAAATAGTTAGTGGCTGAATAAAACAAATTTTTACACCCACGTGATCATAGTAAAAATATTACCCGGCGACTATAACAATCTACGCCGTGTCACACACATCATGTTTTTTCCTATAAAATTTGGAAATTGTTTTCTCATTATTTGTCACAAGGTTGGTTTATTACTATATTAAGCATCTAAATCACGTGACCGAGCTTGACTTTTCATTTTTACTAAGTTAGCATTGACAGAAATATTATAGCACGGTCATTGTTCACGTACTGGTAGGCAGTGAACGCTCCTAAAATTTTGCTCTCTTTAGAAAGATTTAACGAGGTCAAAACTAATTTACATATTTGAAATATTTGGATATACATACAAAAACATAAGATAAATTAAAAACAAATTTACAATATTTAAGTAATTTAGTC